ACATATGTATTAGCATACCTCTGCGCACCGGGTTCGCGCAGACAGGATACGTCATCAGCGCGTTCACACACGCTGCGCAGACAGAGCGAGAATGGCAGACAAACATCAACAACCCGATCTTCCTTCCTGGTATTGTAGTACTTTTAAAGTTTTCTCACCGGTGAATGACACATGATGTAGCCCAGCAGTTAATCCTGTCCTCGCGCCAGCTCGTTAGAAGTGAGCTGCGTGAACTTTGTTCCGATCGATATGATCCCTACACAGTGTTCATTGCTCCCTACTCCCTGAGCGGGGGAAATCCGTTGAAGTTTACTTCACTTTGGAACATGGGCTGGAATTGAGAATGGCTGATGTAGCCTATTGTAGTAATGTTGTCTCTGGTACTCTGGTCTGTGAGCGTAAATGCGTTCAGGGGGCGTGACTTTGGACGGCGATTGCAGGGCGGGTGGGACGTTCGCTTTCAGTGCTATCAGGCTAAAGTTAGCATTTTCCAAGATCTCCTACTGCACCTTTAATAATTATCACACAAATCATAACAGTAATGTTTTCCAATATCCTTGAGTAATATATGACATCAGTTAAAAGCTTATTAAAAGTAACAGGCACCTTTCTGTCAAAAATTTTTGAGTAAAGCTCCATGTCTTCCTCCCAGATAAGTGGCTTCTTCTCAAACACAGGAATCTGGTCTTTCTCCACTGAAAATGAAAGCAAAATCATTTTACTTTTACTTTATTTTTGACTGAAAAGATTCATTCTGGTCACAAAGGCACAGACTGTAAAGTGATGAAGTCTTCAAACCTCCATCAAGCAAGAAAGGCAAATGCTGGAGCTTCATAATCGCAGGTGAGCCCAAGTGCATTCTGCTTGCTAGATGCCTAAGTGTAAAATATTTTAGGAAAAGTTAAAAACTCTGGTTTTTTTTTTTTTACATTTTTTAAAATATTTTTAATTTATTTTTTTCATATAGGTGCTTGTAATAAAGCAATCAAACATCAAGTAGAAAATAAAACAAAAATCTACTTTTTAATATATACCATATGGCAGCATTGGTTTTGTTTGCAAGATATTAATCACAATCTACCATCAACCTATCAACCACATTTACGCTGTGTCATTTGTCCTTTGTGTCAGTATGTCATAAAAACAATGAGTCATCATTTTACTGTCGAAGATTTGTTGTTCGCGTCACACATGTAGTGTAGACAGAATCAGTTTATGATACACTGTAAAAATGATCGTGATTTTAACAGAAAAAGACTGTAAAAATGCTACCGTAAAAACCTGTTTATTGTTTAACAGTAAGTTTCCATACTATATATGGTGAATAACTGTAATCACATTTAATGTCATTTTATTTAAAATTACGGCTTTTGGACATGAAAAAGAAAAAGTCATTGTATAATTTACAGTGAAAAAACGTAAATTAACACTACCAGAATTCCCTGCATGACACTTCATATTTGATTTTTTTTTTTTTTTTTAATAACTATAATTTTCTTAGTTTTTTTCTTCTCAGTTGTGTACATTAGGGTTTTATCTTACATCTAATGTTGTAAAATTCATGTTTATTGCATTATTTCAGTATCGTGTGTTACCATGGTGGTGTTTAGTATTTGTGTGAATGACACTGTGCATCTTAGTATTTCCCTCCTCAGCTTGTGGAAAAGCTGTTTGTGATGAGCTTTGATTCATCATGTGACTTTCTCATCACCAACTTTTTTTGGTGGTTATCAGTGTATTACAATGGTTCAAAACAGATATTAGTACTTCAATAGGTTGGTATATTAACATTACATCAGTTAATGACATTTTTTTATTGTGAATTTAAGTATGTAAAACCTAAAATGTTGCTACCATATTTTTTTATGGTGAGGTTCTGGCAACCACAGCTGCCGGTATTTTACCGTAAATGTGAAAAAAAAATGTACAGTGTAGGATTTATTGTCTTTAGTCGCGTAATGCCACTCACGTCCTGTGTAGCCACACCGATATGAGAAACAGATAAGATAAGTTTTGCTTTCTAGCAAAAAAATGAAGAGAGTATTCTACCCATCAGGCAAGAAATAGCAATGCCAAGTTCCTTAGGAGTCCTTTGGAGAGGACACAGTCCTTTCAATCCCAAAGATATCGACTAACTGTTCCCCAATCATCTGCTTCTTGCACCCAGTGCTCTCTAAAGCAAAAAAGTGCATCAGTCACATGAAAGAATAATAAACCATCTACCATCATACATCAACTGTTTACAATTATTTTTTAAATAACATTCAAGGGCTGAAATATAAGCAATTATCTCCCTGTACTTACATAAACTGACTTAGAAAGCACAGTATCTGCATCAAATGACAGGAATGTCATGTTTTCTGGAACAGTCTTCTGCCGAGCCAGTATACGCAGGATCATTAAGTTGGATGCCTCAGACACAAAACCTTTTAGAGAACTCAGTGGACATGTGTGGGTTTGTGTCTTCACTCCCTTAAGAATGAAAGATGAGCCTTTCTTATTACTGATACAAACTGTTGAACACAAACTATCAGTAAAATGTTCAATAATAGCACTCACCTCTTTCTCTGAGATGATCCGGTTTAACACTAGTTGATCATCCTGTTTAACAATATGCACTTTCCGGTCCACAGTCTGCTTTTCTAGCTGGAATGTTCACAACACCTCAGATTTGGGTGGCTTTACATTGCGATTTTGATTATTACATTCATTATTTCTATAATATTAAACAGAATCTGTTGGTAAACAAGTATTAAGTTAAAGGGAACCTACCCTGTGATTTTCATGAACTTTGCTTTATGTCAATAGAAAACATACCTTTACATATTCATGATGATTCTCTTCCAGTATCTCAAGATTTCTGGATATGTAGGCTGGTAAAAACACAAGGGAACAAATAAAGGGTTTAACATATTTAAGAAATGACTGAGATGGCACAAATGCCATTTGTGTTTTTAACTAACAAATAATAAAGAGAAGGAAATAGTCCTTATAATGTAAGCTCATCTACAATTGATGTACCACAAGGAATGTCATCAATCGTTCCATGACTGTTGGCATGGAGCAGATAACATAGCTCCTCATTGTAGCTCGCCTTGGTGACACTCACAGAGAAGTCTCCCAGCTCCCGGCCCGAATCTGACACAGTCACAAGTGAATCTGCGAACAAACACTGGTCCAGATCCTTAGGTTCTGAAAATGACAGCAGAAGACAGTAGCCCCTCACTGCAGAACACAAGATCCAGGGGGCGTGGTTGGATCCACATCTAGGGGGTGGAGATTGGTAGGTTTAGGGGTGGAGATGGATGGGTTTAGGGATCAGGGGGTGAAGACGGGTAGGTTTAGGTATATGTAAGGTGGGAGGAGTTGGATCTGGATCCAACCACGCCCCCTGGATCTTGTGTTCTGCAGTAAGGACCATCTCGTAGAAGAGGCTTACAGTCATAAGTCAATTGGAATCATATAATGTTAGTCTTGACTGAAGATTAATTTACGATGATTACCGTTATTAGGATCTGAAAGGACTTCTGAAGAAACATTCAGAACATTTAATGTACAGGCACATTTATGCAGTTGTCAGTGTTTCATGCTTTATCACAATACTGGCATACAGCCTCCGTCCTGCATCAAGTTATCGAGGGAAATCTGCTGTTCAAATTACATATTAAATAGAAACAAAATAACAGTATAATGCAACTTAACAAATGTAAGGGGAATTACAGTTTACACCGTTGATGCCATTAACAGATGGTCCCTGACCCTAAAATAGCATCTCTGACAGGCAAACTTTAGAAGTGACGTCACCTACCAACCCTCCACGCACACCTTGGCAATATAATCGCCATTGGCTAGTAAATTGTTTTGTTTACTCGCCAGACTGATATACTATTTTACACACACACACAAACACACACGTTTACTTAGCTATCTAAATGGGGACATTACATAGACTTCGATTGTTTTTATATACAGATAGTTATACACTTTTTAACCTAAACCACTCTCAAGCGCTCAGTCAGCGTGTTTATCGAGTGAAAATCTGTGTTGAACACCTCTCACACACATACTGGCGTGTAAAATCTAAGAATTTATTAGCCAATGGCTAATGTTAGACATTATTTAGTCGCATATGCGAGTCATTTACTCGCAATGTAGAGGGTTGCCTACTAAATCATAATCATGTTTAATGCCTTACCAATGCTGTAAATAAACTCCACTGCATTAACAGCTTTCAGTTCTCCTGTTTCATTCTGTGTTGATTCATTCTCCTCCATTTGTGTCTTAGAAAGTACAAATAAAACAAGAAACAATCACAATAGTTCAAAATATTGCCTATATATATATTTATGTTACATGGATCTTTAAGATCGTAACAGTTGAAGATTTATGTAAACTATACGCGTATTTTTTTTATTTTTACCTGGATTGTATATTGATTTTCAACTGCTCAGTCCTTCAGATGTCAAACAAACAAGAGCTACTTTGCTAATGCTATTAAAAAATATCAGAATAAACAGAATAAACAAACTAACTTAAATTTACTTAAATGACTTTAATATTACAGGAAATGGAACAAATTACTAACAGCGTCTACATTAGTCCTTTAACTCGTTTTATATACGGTCTAGATGTGCCTCAAACTTATTAGCATCTCTGGTTTCCTTAGTAACGCTGGTGTCAACATCTACCGTAAACCTTCTTGTAATCGCGCCAATATTGTCACAGTGCAACACCTTCAATGCAGACACATATTTGTTATCAATAAATACTAGGTTTATTATGACAAACCGTTCATAAATATCAGTGCTTATTTTACCCTAAGTATTCAAAACGCATTTAATGCCATTTTTAATGGGATTCACTACACATCTCCAAAACACAGAGTCAAAGGTAAGGAAAAACGTGCTTTAGAATGACAGGAAAGCTTGTTTAAAAAAAAAAAAAAAAATTCAGACAATGCCTTTCAAAGTCTACTACATACTTAAAGTTAAAATAAATCTATGTTTGTGTACAAAACAATGCCCAGGTCTACTTCACTTATTTTTCTTTAGGTTACTGTTCAAATTGACATTAATGCTTGATACGTAGGGAGCAATAGTTTGGAATGGTTTCAGTGGTCACATCCTCCAAACGTCAGTGGATGAAAGCCTTAGCGGTCCTTATAAATGTCCTTCCGTCTGCGCAGCTCCTCTAAAACACGGGCGCGATATGACGTCCAGTCCTCGTCCTGCTTCTGCTGCAGACCCAGAGCCCGGTGAAGATCCTGGGAGTGGCACCGCAGGAAGGGATTGTATTGCTTCTCCTCTGCTAGGGTGGATGGGCACTGTATGAAGAGGAGAGAGAATGACTTTAAATCAAGCTTGGCTTGTAGGAATATTATTTAGAAGTTTTAGAATAATATTACATGTCTATAGAGATGTAACAATTATCCTGGACTTCTTTGATATTAGGACTTTTTTTTTTCCATAGACTTCTTGTCTTCCTTACTGTGCAGAGTCTCTGACCCCTCTGTTGCAGCACCCACTGCAACTTCTGCTCCCGTACAGCATTGCATGGCTCCACTTCAGCAGCAAACAGCAGGTTATCTTCAGCATACTCATGTCCTGAGAAGAAAGACCTACTTTATTAACATAACCATGGAGCTTTTCCTTAGAAACACACACAAATACTAGTTTGAAAAAACTTAAAACCAAAAAAGTTGTGTACAAAAACTAAAAATGACAAAGACTTGCCACATTGCAATTAACCCTGGGTTAATATGTTTTTTAAACTCTGGGTTAAAACCACTTTAAGCATAAGGTTAAAGGAATAGTCCACCCAAAAAAGAAAATTCTGCCATCATTTACTCACCCTCCTGTATGACTTTTTCTTTTCTTTTGCAGAACACAAAATAACACAATTTTGAAGAATGTTGGTAACTAAACAGTGTTGGTCCCCACTGACATCCATTGTATGGACAAAAAACACAATGGAAGTCAATGGGAACCAGATTATTTGGTTATCAACATTCTTTAAATGATTTTCTTTAGTGTTAAGCAAAAGAAAGTAAGGTGAGTAAATGATGACAGAATTTTCCATTTTGGGTGGACTATCACCTTTTAAGCTATGATTCACAATGCTGTGAAAGAATGCCACGGTGAGATTTTGGCAACCAATCATAAATACATTAATACATTTTGTATAGCTGCAGAAACTTTTATGCATTGTGCTTAGTTTCAGTGCCTGAGGGAAACAGTTTCAAACTTGCCATCAAATGTTTCAACTGAAGTCACAAAGAGACAAACAACTGTAATCATGTTGTGTTCTGTACTTGTTCGATAAATGTTGCTACTTGACTATCCAAGATTTATTACTATTCCAGAGTAAAGTTTAAACAGGGTGCAACATAAAACAAATACATTAAGTGGATAAAACCTTGGTTAGTTAACAACTTCAAGTGTGAAAAGCCCATATAAAAAGACTAAAAATGAAAAAAGAGTTTCCTTACCAGGCCAAAGCAGAGTTTCATCGTTCAGCGATCCCACTGTATCCAGAGATGACAACATAGTTGAGGCATTACCCTCAAACATTCTCCCTACAAGGGATGGAAATGAGTCAGAGCTTTAAATAGAGCAAGCTGGATTTAAGAATGCTGAATTCTTGTTTGCAGTTTTGGCATGCCTTTCTGGGCATCGATACTGTATAAATAGTCATTTAAATAATTATAAAGTATACACACAATGTCAAACATTGCACGCAGGTAACAATAACAAAACAAATATTTTAAACTAAATTATATGACTTTTTATGTGCACATTGAGATAACACAATGATTAATGCCATACGCACCACATCCAGAGAGAAATACCAGATCCCCTGAAAACAAGCTGCTGGGGCCACCTATCGCTCGGCCATCAAGCAGGTAGATCACGTGACCTACTGTGTGGCCAGGTGTATAGAAGGCCCTGAAGTGCAGCCGAGTTCCAAAATCTATTGTGTCTTTGTCTGAAAGGGGGCTAAACAATCCAGAAAACATCAAATTAAGTGGTCTGTTTCATGCTCTCAAGTAATGCCCGATTGTTATATCATATACAGTAAGAATAGGTTTAGTTTAGTTGAGTTGAGTTAGAAAACATCAGATGTAATCTCTCAAACAAACATTTTTTCTGTATTTTTAGATAGACAAATGTTTTTAAATTCTAACACATTTTGGATACATTTAAAGGAATAGTTCACCCTAAAATGAAAATTCTCTCATTGTTTACTCATCCTTATGTCGTTCTGAACCTTTATGCATTTCATTATTCTGTGGATAAAATTTTACAAAGGTTGTTTTGCACCTCACTGACTTTCATTGTATGGACAAAAACAGCTGAAACATTCTTCAAAATATATTATTTTGTGACCTCAGAATAAATAAAGTCATACTGGTTTGAAAGACATGCGGGTGGGTAAATAATGACAGAATATTCATTTTTAGAATTAACAGTTAAAATGATACATGATAGAACAGCAGAATATATTCAAAGTTACTGTGTAAGGCCTGGAATGTTGTCCATAGCGTTCCCATACACTCGACAGGACCCGTAGCGTCTCTTTAGAGCCCTGTTCCCTCCACTGTGGTCCCTGGTTGGGAAAGGTGTATTTACAAAGTATAGTTGGTTTTAATTTTCATGTTTAGACATTCAATCTTGATTCTGTTAAATTCACCCAAAAAAAATCAAAATTCTGTCATTTACTCATTACTCATTTACTCAATCCTCTTGTCGTTCCAAGCCCACAAGACTTTCATTCATCTTCGAAACACAAATTAAGATATTTTTCAGATTCTTTTATCATTTTTATACATCCATTTTAAATCTATGCAACCAAAATGTTCAAGTTTCATAAAGTACATAAAGACCTTGTTAAAGTAATCCATATGAACTGAGCGGTTTAAGCCAACTCTTCTGAAAAGAGATGATCGTATGTGCACTGATCAATGTTTATATGTGAATAAATGTCTAAATTACATATTTACATGTCTCATTCATATGGATTACTTTTAAAAATGTCTCCTTGTACTTTTTGAAGCCTGCAAATTTTGGTTGTGTGGACTTTCAATAGATGGGCAAAACTTATGAGAGAATATTAAAAATATCTTCATTTGTGTTCTGAAGATGAACAGAAGTCTAGATGACAGAATTTCCATTTTTGGGTGAACTAACCCTTTAAAGGTAGTTAGACGCCTCATATGTCTTGAAATGTGAAATGTGAAAATGTGAAATGTGATCTTACAAAGCTAAAAGGGCCTTCATACTAAAAATAACTCATCAGTCTTAGAATTCTCACAAAAACAAATCAGTCTTCTTAACTGAATGTAACATATCTAGTTATTGATTACACTAAAAGATGGTCAAAAGATTGTGCAGCTTTCAGGCTGAAGAGATTTTTGGCATTTTCAAATGTGGTCTTACCAGTGTTTGTGTGTGCAGAGAACAGCTTGTAATGCCACCCCCTCTTCCTCTAGACATGCCTGTGTGGGTGTAAAGGACAAACCATGAAATGAGATAAAACAAAACCGGGGCTCTGGGTAATGTCATAAGTAAGATAAGACGTGACTATACATCACACATGCACAGTAAAGCATCTCTTCATGTATAGGAAGGATCCTAGATATTTTGATTATGACTTCCCTAACCTTAACACTACCTGATTACAATATTATTCAGATCACATTCGTTCATAAAAATCAAACAAACAAACAAAAAAAAACAATCTCTACTTTTGCAAGGAATGAAAAACTGTAATCTTTCCATTTAATTTCCGTTTAATAAGATTTCCTATAACAATAACTGATTATTATTCCATCTTACACAATTTTGGTAAACCAGTGAGAAAGAACAAGCACTTTCCACTAAACCACATGGGTTTGGCAATTTCACTACAGTAAGACACATAATCCAGCAAACTATTTCTGAAACCACTGCACAGTTGTTTTGAATCCAACCTGAACAGGCTGAGGGTCAGCGGGATCAACCACAACAGCCATATTTGATGCCGTGTCAATGACCACATAGCTGTAATTGTCTAATAAGATGGGCACTGGTATGATCTTGATGCCTGTTGAAAGTAATAGAGTGTGACTTTAGATATTGATAATCAACTGTTGAGTGTATTATGGAAAAGGTGTTTCTGCTCACCGTTTATTATAGTAGGTTGAGTTTTGGAGTGCCCAGCAGGGTACCGCTCCCGTGCTTTCTTCATCTGCCTCTTATGAAATATGTACCCGAGTTTGGTCCGTGTATATAGAGAA